ACGACACAAAGAATAATCCACGGGAGTACACGAGCACAACAAATGTAACCCAATACCTTAAAACCGTAACGCTTCACAGTTCTCCTATACATAGTATGCAAAATGACCCTCTAAAAGTGCCCGGCTGCCAGCTAAAGAGGCACCCAGTACGCAAGCTGAACTCAAGTCATCCTAAGGTGCTCAACAACAGGAAGTTAATTGAACTGGGAAGTACAGCCAAATCAACAAACTCAAACCAAACAGCCGCCACCATTCTCGCACCACCCACTTTAAAAAGCCACACCCCTCAAGAGCAAAAACTCCAATCTCATCCCACCACCTCAACATTCCCCGTAACTCCAATTCGGGCAAATCAGATCATACCCTCTTTTCCTCCCCTATCTACCCAACGAACCCATTCGATCATCGACGGAAAATAAACCTGAAAAACTGCAACGACCGAGTGCAATCCAGGCGAATTCAACTCCGCAGCCTAAAAACGCAATCGAGCAACGAATTGCCCGTTCGACCAGAGTAGCAGCAAGAGGAACAAACGAGCAAACGATGCAGCGACCAAAGAGGAAGAAACGGAAGCGGGAGAACAGCAGGCGAGTCTTTACCGGAGGGAACGCGGATCGCCGGAGCCGGAAAATGGAGAGCGAGGGTCGTGATCGGCGAACTCCGAGTCGCCTTTGGCTTGGGCGGAAGCGGAGACGGGGGGAGGAAGAAACCCTAATCAACAAATGGGGGGGCAATTTGATGACGAGGGAAGGAACTCGGGGGGGCCCCACTGGATCTTTCCCAAAGCGGCTCATACTTGCTCTTTAATCCCCCCGTTTTCTGGCCTCCTTTGCATGTCTCTAATGTAATGATGAAGCCCAAGCGCACACGTGGCGAGCTTATCGGCTTCCAAATTCAGATTTTACAGGTCATCAAGATAATTGGTGTTTAGTGGCTAAGGGATGATTTGTGTACTCCCATGATGGTAGTAATACGAGTTTGATTTGCAGGTTGAGTGATTTTCTGGACAGATAACATGCTTCATTTGAATATACTTTCATATAAGAAACTTTCTATTCGTTATCATTTTGGTAGGACTATGGCAATGAACCTTCGAATCATGAGTGATGCGGAAGAATTATGATTCAAATCGAATGTTCTGTAACGGGTATAAGACCTCTTGTATCAACAATGCCTAGAGAAGCGGCTAATGTCAATCACCCACTTTTGCATTAATCGAGCCGGTTTATGTTTTAATTTGCGAAATCGAGCCGTTATATTTGCCGACGCCAACTGGCTAGGGCACATTTTCTGGATGCGGAGTTCGGGCGAATTGATCAGGTTCCCAAATTCTAGGTGCAAAATGTAGCTTGAATTTCACATTACAGGAGAATAATGATCCATGCTCTCTCCTAGAGTTGACGAGCTGACGTGGCATCCGATTGACTTCATAGATGAGAAAATCATCAAACGGCCCCAAATGGATTTATAATTTCTATAAGATACTAGGATCTGAGCCGGCATTGCAGGCAAGACTTGCACGGAAATAGGAAAAATGCCGAGAGTCGCCCATCTCAAGCTATGGAATTGCACTGCGAACTTGACACCGTTGAGAAAGAGAGAGATCTGGTGAGATGAAGAAGATGAGATCTACCGAAGTGACAGCGTTTGTGCTAGATCTCCTGGAAGCTGGGATCAGATTTGCACCGAGAATGTGGAAGAAACTCTTCCTCTGCCAATTGTAAATGCTCAATCTTCTTTCGCCCTTTTTGTGGGCTAGTTGCGTATTTAGATGTGGATGCTGTTACTAGGGACGAGAAGCTTGCGGCACCTAATTCATTACCTTGAAATTAGTGATCAATCATGTGAACCTGCATTCTTCTAGCTGGGGAATATGCTGGGCAATCTGTGTAGAAGCAGTAATTTGGGGTAGTCGCCGAATTCAAGCATTTCTAGATGTGATCGAACTTTTGTGCCACTTTTGCGGTGGCATTGTGCATTTAAGAATGCAATCCTGGTGAACAATGAAATTGCAGCAGGAGACTTCATCCGGTTGTCGTTGGAAGTTAAATTGGGGTCACATTTTGTAGAACAGGTTTCTTACTTTTTTCACCTTCTCTATCTGGGCAATCTGAGGGTTCAATCATTTCATTCGCTTCTATTGTAGAGATGCCCAAGAGTCGATTGACTTGAGCAAATTCTTTATTGATCAATGCGCTGTTGGGAATAACCATGGACTAAATTCATGTTTTGGTTTTTCTTTCGTGCATTTGTACCAATGAAAAGGAACCCGGTCATATTTGTGCGGCGGCCGATATTTTTCTGCAGCTCTGTTGTAGATTTTAGGTTCAACACCGTGAATTGTAGGCTGATGTGCATAACTCGAGAGAAATTTTATCCTTGTTAAGCATCAGGACACAAGGCTGTCTGAGCCAGAGCTGATCAAAATGAGTTGGTCATGCTTCACTGAATCTACCAAATGGTCAATTAAGATTCATGCATCGGATATCCAATAATTTTGCACATTAAACCGTCTAGCTCCGAATCAACTCCAACCTCACCTGTATCAACTTCACCGTTGAATTTGATCATATGATTTCGCAGTTGATATGAATTGAAACGTGATCGTGCGAGTAAGACCGTAGGAAGCCAATCCAATCATCAACGACTTGATATAGCAACCAACCGTTGTTTGTTCCGCATCCCCGTCAGTCCCGCTTGTTTTTTGTCGCTAGCACGAGCCTCTTCACATAGACCGATGCCTCATTTTCTTCGTTCAATTTATCATCTTGCTCTTTGAGACGGCATGAACATATCTGCTGATAAAGGTTGGACAGTTTGACCTTGGTTTTACGCGAAGTTAAACGTACTCAGATCCAAATTCATACGCGAAGTCGCTTACAAACTCTCTGGGCGCTGCCGGTGGCTATAAGCTCGGGAAAGTTTTTAGCTATGTTTCTTGGCTATGCAAGGGAAGAAGAAAAAAGAAATAGTGGTTAGGAAAAAGGGTAAACTACAGAACCGAATCCTCAAACTTTTCCACAACTTGCGGTTGGCGTTACTCTTGTAGTTTGAAAATCTTCCATTTTGCGCCCCTTGGGTTTCGCAAAACTCTCGGCGTCGAAAACCATTCGAGAAAGGTTGGGATAGCCGTAAAAAAAAACAATCACAAGGTGCAAAGCGTGAGTATCCTGAAATTAGATGGTGAGAAGTGTTCCTAAGGGAAAGTCGACGATGGTTTTTAGCAATTTTTCCGGAAAAGAAAAATGAAGATGAAATTTGCAAACGATCGATCGTTTAAATGTTGAGCACAATAATATCATACGGCATAGCGGTAAGCTGAGAGCTGAGTTCCAGCAAATCTTTTAAGTTGTACCTTCAATCGACCGACTAGAAAAAAAGCTACGGAAGCAATAGCTCGACGAAGCTCGGAAAATGTGAGGATCGATCGTTTATTCAACACCCGTGTGCACGGCATTTTTCGATTACATATAGCTTCGGCAGCATACGTCGCCGTACGATGAATCGCACGACGGAGAGGAATCGAAATAGGCGAGTTGAGGAAAATAGGGCAGGGTTAAAGAACCCCAGAAACGGAGGGCTTTAAACAAGCATTTGGCTGGAAACATAGTCCTAAACACAACGAAATCGACCCCGAAATTAGATCGAAACGTGGATCCTCCAAACACAAGTGTTCATCTGGTTTTGCAGTCAGCATCAAATTCATTCAGGAAAAGAGCTTACTGAAAAAGAGGGGAGAAGAGAAGGACGGATCAGGCAATTTCAATCACAGCTCCATGAACTAAAAAGTTCAATCAGCTCCGTTCCCATTCAAATCCAAAAGGCAAGACTGTTATTCCATGGGCATCGTCATCAACAGATCAGACAAATTTTCTTTGCCTCCGAGCCCTGTGCTTCTCCTCCGTGGAATTACAACAACCGGTCGAGCGATTCGATCCATCGATCGGTGATGCCCGAGCCGGAATTGAATCGATTCACAGTCTCTCTCGATCGAGAGAGAGAGAGAGAGCGTGCTCGCTCGAGATTCACGCACGAACAGAACAGTGGTGCGCGCGCGCAGGCAAAAACAAAATCACGAATTTTCACGCGAGCTACTCAAGATTCGCACTTACCTCCCGCCGAACGCGCTAATAAATTGCAACGAGTGACGCTGAGTTACGCATCGAGTTTATCGACACTAGGGATCTGAGCCGGCATTGCAGGCGAGACGTGCGTGGAAACAAGGAAAAACGCCGAGAGTCGCCCATCTCCAGGCTAGGGAATCGCTCGGCGAACTTGACGCCGATGAGAGAGAGAGCTCTGGCGAGATGAAGAAGATGAGGAGGAGGAGGAAGAAGAAGAAGAAGAAAGGAGAGAGAGGATGCGAGGAGCTCGAGCGTTTAGAAATGGCGAAAAAAAATAAAATAAAAAATAAAAAGTGAAATGGAAATTTGTGCCCAACGGAAGGAGAGAGAGAGAGAGATTGACCGCATTAAAATCTGAGAGGAAGAGACAGCGATCATGCTGTCAAAAAAAGGTTTTTTATTTTTTATTTTCTATCTTTTTTTTCTCGGAGACACAGAGTGTCGTGTCCGACTGCCACGTGTCAGTCTTGTGGGTTAAGCCTGTTTTAATGGGAGAAAAGTCGTTATTCCCTTCCTTTTTTGTTTGTTTGTTGGTGCTATCAAAATTTCCATTTTTGTTTTTTACTTTTTGCATATTGGTAGGTGTTTAGGAAAATCACAGTTCTTTCCGGCTAAAAAATTTGTTGGGATATTGTGTTGAAGCTGATAATCTTTCGTAGGAACAAGATACACAAATTGATTTTTCGGCTTTAGAAAAAGATTGAGTCCATATAAATTACCCACCTTGTCATAACAAAAAAATTACGAAGATACAGTCGGATTCGATAGCGTCAATCACAAAAGGAAAATTTGGGGACTTCATTGTAGTCTCGATTCTGAAATGCGTCATTGTACGAACTTTCCTCGATAACCAGTAATTCCAATGCCTTGATCGATTCATGTATAGTATATATTAATCTTTGGGGGGGCCCGATTTTGAAGGTTCTTAAAAATTTCCATACACACAACATCGATATATAGTCGACAATATGACTATATGAGTGTGACCCCTATAAGAATACAGGATAAAGAATGCTTAAACAGATAAGATACAAGCCTTGGAAAATGTACAAATGAGGTATACCCCATGACACCGCCAGAACTACTAGCTTTCTTTTGCCTTGATGCCTCATAGGAATATTCTAATTTCAATTTTAGATCCTGTATTCTCAAAGGAACTGATGCTGAAACAGTCGATGATGTCGATGATGCTTTGCCTCTGACAACCCAGGCACTAGCTTCAATAATCTTCGTGGCTGCCTCCATAACATAGGCAGCCTTCTTGGCCGGAACGAATCCGGGACCTTTAATTGGAGAAAACAGCCTATGATGGGTAATGGAAATAGGTCTAGCTGATTTCAAAGGAAGTATTTCGGTCTGAAATCTCTCTATCGGTCGGTTCTGCGCCTTTGAGGGCTTTACTTCTGCAGGTGTGAGGAGAAACTACTACTAGAACTGCTGAGGTAATCAATCCGATCACATCTACTTCGCAAATCATGGGTGCCATCACTGTAAGGAGAAGCTTCGACTTGATGAAATTCGGAACACGAGGTGGAGGATTCGGGACCATTTAACTTTGGCAATGAATCCAAACCCATTAGTCGAGCCACTACTCCAAGGGCTCTATTTTCAAATCCTTCATTGCTGGTCTCTGAATCAGCACAGTTCCATTCACTAGTTCCGCTTTTACTTAAACTGACTCCATTTTCATCATTAACATTCTACATTAAAGCAAGAAACAATGCAAGTCAAATAGATGGAACTGATGCACGACTAAAAAAGATTTTGACTACAGTAGGGTCAAATGAACTCCCACCATCTGAAACCTTGACTTCGCCAAGATCTTTGCATCATCCATTCCATGCTTAACTCCATCTATAATCATAAACAAAGCACGTTAATAGCACTATATGAGCCATCGCCTCCAGAAAACTTTCATATGCTAACAATGAACGGGCATGCGACCAATAAAATTTATAAAAAGACGATGCAAGTCGTACCAGGTCCAGGTATATCAGGACTGTTTGAGAACAGCAGCTTCTTCCTGGACTTGCTGTTCCAGTCAAAAAACTGTAGGAAGCCTCCCTTTGACCGTCTTTTCTCCACCTCCATCTCTCAATTACAGGTATCTAAAAGGAAAAGAAAAAAAAATTACATACATGAAGAGGAGATAGGAAGACCCAGAACAACCACATCCAGAGTAACTTGGGTAACTTCGACAAAAGCTCACATTGCAAAGCGGACGATGAAAACGCTAGACCAGGCGTATTCTACTATTTGCCAGACGAAATTCCGAGAGCAACACATGAATAATGGAGACCGAGTGTGCATTATCCTAATTTCAATAACCCTCCATTCCTATTTGCAAGCATTTCAGGATTCACAGCTCGGATAATTCTAATCTCACATTTGCCAAGAATCGACCCAACAACCAAAGCATCATACTTGGCTCACTGAAACACGATTCATTCACAAAGCATCTCTCAAACTCCGAAAGCAAGCCCCATTGCTTGCAAGAACACGACCCCACTGCCTCGCCTGCTAAGTCCAAACTCTAAACTGAAGTGGAGATTCACACGTCAACCGAACAGTAGCGCGCGCTCAAGCAACAAACAAAAATCAACGAATTTTCCACGCGAACTACCAAAGATTCACGCTCACCTCCCGCCGAATGCGGCGAGGATTACGACGAGCGACACACAGAGTTGCGCATCAGGTTATCGACGCTAGATCTGGGCCGGCATTGCCGGCGCGACGCGCGCGGAGCAAGAAAACGATGGGAGTCGCCGCCATCCCAGGCCACGGAAATTGCTCCGGCGAACTCGACGCCGATGACAGAGAGAGAGAGATCTGGCGAGATGAAGAAGAAGAAGAAGAAGAAGAAGGAGAGAGAGAATGCGAGGAGTTCGAGTGGTTAAAAATGGTGAATTTTGTGTCCAAAGGAAGGAAGGAAGGAAGAGAGGAGAGAGATTGACTGGTTTTTTGTGCATTGAAGTCTGAGAGGAAGAGACACAGCCATCTCTTGCTGTTAAAAATTGTTTTTTTTTTTAATTTTCTTGTCTTTTTTTTTTCCGGAGATTCAGAGAGCCGTGTCCGACCGCCACGTGTCAGTCTTGTGGGTGAAGCCAATTTGTTTTTTGTAGGTGAAGTCAGTTTAAATTGGAGAAAAAGTTTTGATATATCTCCTCTTTTTGTTGTCCTGTTTGGAAAGTGTCAAGATCCAATGGAATTCAGATAAAAAGAAAAATCCAATGGAATTAATTATTCGGCTATTGTTCTTGCTTTTGCATGTTTTGGTAGCTTGCAAATTAGGACAAAGTATGTTCTTTCTGACTAAAAAAATTTGTTCGAACGTTGTGCAGAAGCTGATCATGTTTCCTAATAGGACGAGGTACACGAAATGATATTTCAAATTTTTAATAAAAAGATCGAGTCCATACAGATTACCCACCTCATCGTCACGAAAAAAATCTAAGAAGATAGAGCTTGATTCGATAGCATTAATCATATTAAAAAAAATTATGAACTTGAATTCGCGTTTCGTAATAATTCAAAGACTTGCCATTAGACTTTCCTCTTTTTCAGATTAAAAAAAAAGGTTTACATTGAACATTTAGGAATAAGTGCATTAGAAACCTTAAAACTTGTCACGAAAGTGCAATTGAGACATAAAACTTACAAGAATCAAGTCCAAATTATTGCAATTGAGTCCAACTTGGCTAACAGAAAATGTCGACGTGGCTTTTTTTTAATATTTTCTCTATCCTACGTAGCGGTGACATGGCTAAAACATCAAACATAAGGCTAAAACGGTGTCATTTTGGTCTAAATCTAAATTTTAATATATTTTTTTATTTAAATTAAATTAAAAAATAAGATAAATTTAAAAAAAAAAGGAGAGAGGGGTGAGAAATCTTGCCGGGAAGGGCTGACGAGAGTGGGGGATGATTGGCAGGGGTTGCCTGGCCCCGGCCAGTCGCTGGCAACCCTTGCCGATTGTAGGCATAGGCCTACATTTAGTCGAGAGCCGCCACGGGAGATAAAATAATACAAAAAGCCACAACATTTTCATCAAATAAGTTGGACGAAGTTAATGAAACGACTTGATTACACAAATTTAATAAGTTTTAAGATCGACTGCACTTTCATAAGATCGAGTGCACTTTCATGACAAGTGCACTCATCCCAAATATTTAAGGATAGTTTAAGGACAAACGACATAACATTGTATAAATGTGCTAAAATTTAGAGATTATTGATGTCATTTTCTTAAATGTATCTTTTCTCTTGTTGGGAAAGAAACGGAAAAGACAGTATGTTTGACTCTAGTGCACATCTCCCAAGAAGAGAATTATGTAATTCAAAACGTCAAGCATAATTCACGCGTTTCCTTTTTCATCTTCTTACCTATTCGACCCGTTACACGATGCTACATGCTCTTAGGTTTAGGATCAAAACGCTGCCACATGACATGCACGAAACATTGACCCCCTCCGTTGACCAGAAACGAAGCCAATTTGGGTCTCAGTAGTCAGATACGAGAACAAGACAACGTGAGACTCAACATTAACCGAACTCGACATAGGATCATTAGGCAATAGGTACCTTATCTGCTAAGGCTATGTCCTTTTTTTTTTTTTTTTTTTCTGAATGTTGCATGCATATTCCAAATTACTTCGTTATAGTCGTGATTGTGAAATCGAGTTGTGGTACGAACTTTCCTCGGCGACCAATAATCCAATGCCTTGATCGATAAATGCAAAGTCTATATTACCTTTTAGGGGGCCCGCTTTTGAAGGTTCTTAGACATTTCCATACAACAACCTCAATATATAGTCGACAATATGACTATATAAGTACGACCCCTACAAGATTTCGGGATGAATAGTGCTTAAGTAAATATAATATAAGGCTAGGAAATGTACAAATGAGGAATACCCCATGACAGATAGTCTGATTAAAAACGGCGTTTCCCGATGCATCAAAGTTGCCATTAACTTCCTTTTTCCTCTTGGGGGACCTAATTTGATTTCTCTTACAATGTGCAATCATGCGCATGTACCACATACGGCATGTGGCATGGTCCAGGACTCAGAGTCATAACAAAAAAACCAATTGGTGTCATAGCCACCAGGGTCCACCTGGGAAGGATAAGGGGACCATCTCAAATTCCAAAACAAAGACAATCACCTTCCAGTTCTTTAATAAATATTAAAGGGTTGGGACAGCCAATTTGCACCATTTATCCCTGAGCGCTAGTATAGAATTTCCCCGTTCGTTATGAAATGTTCGATTTTAGTTATGACCATCAAGTATCGCCCATAATCTAAAGTTTCAACGATGGCTAGCCCATCACCACAACTGAATGGTATGTCAATAATTCATCACTCTTTCTAGACGAGGTAGTAGCACCAAAGATAACAAATCAATCCCTTTCAGTCACGATACAACTCAAACTTGTAATTCCGATGCTTACGTGACCACAGAGCCAACCAAGCTCGATGATAATCAACTAGTGGGCACTTCTGTTTGATATTGGGAATCTATAGGATTATTTGTTTATTTTCATTTATCTATTTTGATCCATGTAACAGCGGTTCTTTCTCTAGAATCCCATGCAATCTGAACTGCAGCTACTGCTATTTGACAAGCTTCCAAAATTTATTTGCCTCCACTTGGAGATTTTCCACAGCACAGGCTCTCCTCTGTGGTCGTCAGAGGATAATGAGCATACCCCAAATTTTTTTCTTCTGTTTCTTAGGCCGAAGAGAATCCCCCAATCCAATATATTTCCAAAACAATCTTTTTCAAATGAGTCATGCACATACTAACATTCAGAAGGAACGATTTTGTCCTCACTTCAAAAGGCAATGAATGAATTACCTTCTTCTGGGGCCCAATACTATCAATGTCCCTCACCTCGTGCGATGTTGTGCCGTCATCAAAACTGTGCTGATTCCAACCACCCTTTTGAGTACAAACCATTGGCTGCAATTCTCATGAAATATATTTATGCAATCATTAACGTGAGTTGTTGTAATGCAAATACAACAAGGAAGCAACTGTTTAAGTGCCATGTGAGAGCATTATTGGGCAGTTGACACGTCCTAGTCAACATGAATCTAAGGTTGTGCCTGACCCAGGAATAATAAAACCATGTTAAATCCCTAAGTATCGAATCATATATGCATTGCCATATGCTCTATATGAAAAACTATTGCATAGTGTGAATCTGAGATCTGAGTCCATGATTTGAATAATCCAGTCCACCAATGCAATGCTTGCTGACCAGAAAGCCGACAGTGTTCAATAGTTGGATAACTGATAATTAGACCCTAATAAAAGTTCTCAACCAATCGATTGTATCTTAGGATATACTACTTGAAAAATTTATTCTGCAAGTAAACTAACTTCACAGATGCAGTCATGATATGCATCAACACTCATTCAAAACGGGAAAGAAGAAGACAGGCAACATGCGCTTGTATGATTGGATTTTGCTGTTAATCTTTGCTGAACAGAAACAAGTAGCTTTTTCTAGCGAAACAAGCAACTTTTTCTTCCTCAGTCAAGACCGGACGGCCTGTTCCCATATGCCTCTCCGGCGGCTTGTATGTTGGGCCACATTTTCTTTCCCCTTACGAAAATAATTAGTTCCAGACAAGGAACATGACAATAGATGATAGACAAGCATGAGATGACAAGACCATCACAACTGAAGAATTCTGTGTCCTTAGTTAAGGACCTTTGCCCCTCCAATACCATGTGGTCTTCCAATAATTGCGGATGATGGAACCAGAAGAACTGTGCGGCTCAAGATCATGCGTCAGTCGGTACCTGTCGCCCATCAAGAGAGGTGACACCTGAAAGGTTTACCTTTATGAAGAGGCTTTGAGACAATTGTTGCAAGGATTACAACCGTATTTACAGTCTTTCCGATCCAAAGACTCGCCAAAGTGTGCAAGTAAGGTTTGCCGCCGACACTCATCTTGAAAATTTCGCAAATTAGAGAGTTAACACATGTTTATCAATAGACTTTGCTCCATTCAGGTACGTGGAAGATGAGTTTAGCCCAAAGGTTCCATTATGATTTACATATGTTGCCAACAGACCCATCTAAAGATCCAGCACCCAAACTGGTAAATGCCAGACTAAAACTAACAACAATCAATAGAACAAAGTGGAAAGTGGAAACACAAAATAGAAGCATCACTTAGTTGAGATCACTAATGAGAAGTTGAGAACACAAATTGGATTACCTTGAGTTCACAATATTGCTGCATTTTCCTAGCTTGAGCCATTGCAGATTTAAAGACAGCGGTTTTACATCCTTGACCACTCCTTAACATGCACACAACCCGGCTGAAATCCTTTTTGGCATATAGAGCAATGCACACTGCCGGTAGATTACCTCTTCCTGCCCTCCCTGACTCTTGGTAATAGCTTTCCACTGACTTGGACATTGCGTTGTGGATGACAAAACGCTGACCACATGCCATTAAAAAAATAAATACTGAACCAATAAAAAAAAGTTGAAATGTGATGAAAACATTATAATTGAAGGTCAAGTTAGATCAGAGTCATTTGCAACTTTGACAGTAAAGAAAAGACCTTTATCCTAGTCTAACTTAATTTCAGCACACCCAAGTTCCATGCATGGAAGAAAGAATTTGATTTGAAAAAATACATAATTCGCTAGTTCCTGCAATCAATAGCCAAGAATGACAATTTAGCAGGCCATTGGACCATGGAACCAGCAAAGTTTACTTCCAAGCACACTAAGAAACCAATTGGTGAAACTTAAACATTAAAAGAAAAGTGGATTAGTCGAGTATTTGTCAACACGTCAGCTTGACTCTAAAACTAAAAATAGGCAAAGGCCAAGAGTCCATTTCAACTTACCACATCTGGTTTGTCTATTCCCATCCCAAAAGCAATGGTAGCACATACAACCTGGACCTCTCCAGTATGCCATTTCTTTTGAACAGCTACTCTTTGACGGACTGCTAATCCAGCATGATAGTACACCGTCTTTATACCGCACTTATCATTCAAGTATTTTGCAACATCAACACATTCACTCTTTGAGAGGCAATATACTATGCCACAAAAATTAGCAAAACGATTCTTTAGCAGCTCTCCAAGCTGCTTCAGTGGTTCCTTGGTCTTAGCTATGACCTCATACTTTAGGTTTGGTCTGTCAAAGCTTGTCTCAAGAACAAGAGCATGGGGGATCCTGAGAGCTTTTAGGATATCCTGCAATGGATGCACATTTCAATCAGTCTCAAATGATTATTTCAACATAATCTGGAGGTTAATGTGCAAGTTTCGTACCTCACGAACTGGCTGAGTGGCAGTTGCAGTTAAGGCCATCACTGGGACGTATGGAAAATTTTTCTTGAGACATCCCAGTCCCCTATAATCTGGACGAAAATCATGTCCCCATTGACTGTAATAATGACAACCAAGAAAGTAACAGTCAATAAGCTTTACTAGTTTACAATCATTCAAATATACGAGAAAATCTCAAACCAGCAGTACGTTCCTTTCATGAGATGGCACTGGCAGTGCAGATCCAGTAAAGACCTCATAAGAAACACAATCAATGATCACATGGGTGAACTTTTTCCTTATATCTCAAGTTGTTAATATATAGTATAAAGGTTAAAAGAATAAATAGAGACGCAAGAACCAGCTTAAAAGGCCTGACTATCATGCCAAACATGGACACTTCCAATTACTTCAGAAAGTAATTAATTTCCGTTGGAGCTTATTTTAGTTGTGTGCATTTTGCTTAATATGATCAACGATGTGTCACTGACTTTTCCCAAAAGAAGGAACTGGATCATTTCCAGAATTAGTTGTTTCAACATTGCATTCTGTTATACTAGAACTTCACAGAAGGTCTGGGTTTCAGAAGGTTCAGTGTAACACGACAATGTAACTAGGCTAGAAACACAGAAAATCCAAAAACGTTCGAAAAAAAGAGTTAGAGTGAGCATATATAAAAGTTAACTTGCTTTTCTTTATTTGGAACAAGGACAGTAGTTTTGCAGTGGCAACATCATAAATACTTATTCGTTTTGAAGTAACACTAGCATGATCTTTGCTTCAGATACAAGGATGCCAAAGAGCATACCTCACACAATGTGCCTCATCAACAACAAAACCAGCAAGTTGTGTCTGCAATGCATGATGGTCGAGTATCAAAGAGTTAAAAAGAAACTTTCAGAAAAAGTTACAGTGAATCAGAAATAGTACCTTTCTATGCAAGCATTTCGATATCTCGAGAAACGATGGGTTTCCCACAATCCTTTCAGGGGTTACATACAATAGCTTGCATGATGGTTTATCTTTCCTGAAAAGGCAGGCAAAGCAGTGGAGATTAATGACTTGACAATCACGACACTCAGCAAAAAAAATATTTAGAAGTCCAATAGAAACCCCATTGCAACATATGGAGTATAGCCCAACATTTTATGGAGGGATAAAGATTCAATGGTATGATATACTTCTCTAGGAACACTAAGATCCTAAAATTTATTTTTAAGGCAAACATCTTAGGCATGAATCTTTTCATTAACTACATAAAAAATGTGCATCCATTGCAACATATGGAGCATAGCCATTTTATGGCGGGATAAAGATTGTATGGGATGATATACTTCTCTAGGAACACAGAGAGAGAGAGAGAGAGAGAGAGAGAGAGAGAGAGAGAGAGAGAGAGAGAGAGAGAGAGAGAGAGAGAGAGAGAGAGAGAGAGAGCGCTAAACCTTGCCTTAGTTCTTGGAGGACAGCTGCTGCTTGGGCAGCAGTTTGCTGAGAGTTCAAGAAAGTAGATGGTATTCCATACTTGAGGGTTAGAGTAATTATTTGATCCTGGATGAGAGATAGCAGGGGAGATATAACAGCTGTGACACCTGGTTTAAGAGTTGCTGGCAGCTGAAGCGAAATGTAAAAACATCAGAAGAGCACATGAAGAAAGGAAGGGATGAGGGAATTATTCTTTTATTCACCTTAAGCTGATCAGAAAGCACCAGTTGATATTTGTCTTATAATTACTTCAGCTAGAAACATATATCAGCTACTTCAAGACTGAACAGAAAACACTTCAGGATAATTAAACTTCATCAATTCAGATTAATATCTTCCTTCGTGATTCAGTAGATCAATTCAGATTTATATGAAAGGACATCAATTTCAAACCAATTACGAGAAATGATCACCCCTAGTTGACATGATGACATAGCACATACCTGCATAAGAAATATAGACATCTACAATCTATATTTGGTGCACGTAATTTTACAACTTATTCCTCTTTTGACTTAATAACCCTTTTGAATTGGACATGAACTATGACCGACAACAACACTTACATGCAAAAACAAGACAAATTTTCCAGTAAGTAATTAGAAGGTCCTGGAAGCATTGCATAAACCTCAAATTCTAGAAATTACAGAATAGATAGGGCTGTGCGAAGGCAGAACGAGAATGTCCTGTATTTCCTTCTTTTCCAACTTAGTCCGATCACGTACATTGGAACCCATGGTTATGTCCCCAAATCACTTCCTATTGCTTAATTTGCATTTGGAAAACATTTTCTTCCTTTAGTTTAAGCACAAACTTCTCAACAGTGCTAACAAAGCAGATTACAAGATCATTTTAAGCTTAAATTTCAATATACAGGTCTACCCGTCTAGTATTTAATTGGTGGAACCATGGAGCAAAGTGCACAGGGCTTGTGCTCTAAACATTGTCTCCACACATAATTCTACATACGATCATTACACAAACGAAATAATGTTAACATTCACTAACCTGGTAACATAAACTTTTACCACCTCCGGTGGGCATTAGAATGAAGCAATCTTGCTTGGCTACAGAAGCTTTACAAGCCTGATGCTGCATTGGTCGAAATACCTTGTTTCCGAATATTACAACATTTGCCAATTCTATGTCATCCAAGGCCTGCAATTCCTTATAACTCAGAGTCCCTTGTTTGCATGTCGAAATCCGAGAGCAATGTCTTTTTTTTTTAAACTGATGATATCGAACCTTGAGTGACAGTGCTCCTACAGTCCTTCAACACAAACAAGCCTCTTCAGCACCACAAATAGTTTCTGACTTGGATTGTCATGGAAGAAATCACAAGCCTTCATTTATGCAAAACATTCCTATGAAAGACACTGGATTGCTAAGTTCCACAGTTTGATGATCTGCTATACTCTCCAAGTATTTGAGAAATATAGGTATTTGTACATCATCCAAAACTAAAATCAACTTCTCTATCGACCAAAGAGTTCTAATATGTCATTATGGATCTTGAAGATTGTGGAAGTAATTGGCAAAAGTTAGGAGTGTCTATTGGATATTTGATTGGATGAGAGGCCTCATAAGCAATTTACTAATGCTTTTCTACATGTACATCGTGTAGGTCCTTTTCTGTGTGCAGAATCACAAGCAAATTGCAAAAGATCAAGGAGAGTATAAATTATATAAGAAAAGAACAGTCACACGGTGATTTAAGTGGTTTGGCAGTATTGTCTATGTCCATGGGAGAAGCATACCATGGATTCTAAAGATCGTCTGGCCAGAAGTTGAGTGGATGAATTCCTCGGAGTACTGCTTTCATCAGGAATATAGCACGTGGATTTCCTGCCCATTTTACTGCCAAATATTTCATCTTCGTCTTCACCGTCAGTAGAGGAATCCACCTCAAGAAAAGTTTGATTTTTCTCAGGTTGTGGAGAATCTTCTATAATAGTAACATCATGCACGACATTGCATCCACCGTCATAAGGGATATCTTGGCCAAACATATCAGCCCAAACTCCACAAGCTTCTGATTCCGCAGCTTGCAAATCATCCCAATCCTCGGTATCTTGCATAGTTTCGGCAAGTTCTGCTAGAAAGTCATCGCCACAGTGCTCCACAGTGATAAACTCTCGACCTTCGTCACCTTAAAAAAAAAGCCAAATGAAGAAAGAGATTATTTTGCAAGTCATTAAGACTACTCCGCCAAACCCACAAAGAAATGACAATGAGATTGACGCTCAATGAACAAAATTTAACCAGCTCCGGTCCATTGAAATCCAAAGTAGACCATTTGGCAGCCATCATCAGAGCACTGACTAACCGCAATAAATCTCCTTATTTAGGAATGCACAATCAATCAATTCACAAATTATCCACGCAACACAAGCAATTGCGTCATTCCCTAATCACCAGATACCACCCAATTTGGCCAATAACCAAGAAAAGCCACCATCCAAAGTAGCCTCAACGCATCAAACTGGAACCGTGCCAGACATTTTGCTCGTCAGTAAAACTACTTCACTAAGCACCCTATTCTACAGCCATCGTCATCGTGGTGGACCAAGAAACACCTACACAACCTCTGCAAACGCTAATCTCAGCATGACAAAATGGGTGACGAAGAGACGATTCGAGTTACTGTAGAGGGAAATGAGGCGGACCAAGCACTTGGTGGCGGACTGCTCGTCGGAGCCGAACTCGAGAGCCAAGCTTAGCAACCGAGCTTTCTCTACCTCCTCCAACCCCCGATCCTCCATCGAATCTCTCAACCTGTTCGCTCGACGGTATTCGATCGATCGATCGATCGATGATGCACGAGCCGGAATCGAATCGATCGCTAGTCTCTCTCGAGAGCGCGCGCTCGAAGTGCCTTTTCGAAAAACCTTGCCAGCGACGGCGGGATTGGATGTCTGTTTTCCCCTTCCCATTTGTATGTGCTAGAGAATGGGAGAGATTGGAGCCAAATATTTTCAATTTTTTTTTTGAAAATTCCGTTTTTGCATCTGAAGTTTGTTCAAGTTCTATTTCCAGCCCACCGTAAGTTCTTGTGGTTTCATTTGACACCCTTGGGCTTATTTGGTGAGATGACACATGAAAAATTATTAATCAATCGCACCTCTCTTAAAAGTTTGGAAAAGAAAATTATTACTTGAATTTCAAACAATCACTAAAAAATTGTGCACGATTCCTTATATATATACGATTTGTTTTCGATGTTTTGCATTAAAGAAAAAGTCACATTACAAGAATTGCAAAATTGGCGAAAAGGAAAAAAGTTAGACGGTTCATATGGTTTCATAATTATCTTGCGTGCGCGAAGTTAGAGCTGCTGCATCCATCGAGATCAATAGAGTATTTTAAGAAATTGAAGGCCACATTGTTAGCAAAAAAAAGGAATTTCTTAAGAAAAGTTATATGGTTGAAATTTATTTTCATCTCATTTGGTGCGAGCCTTTCGGACTTTATTGTTTTCTGGGTTTGGATCATTCTTGACCTTGGTAGATAGGGATGTGTGTAAAGGCTCCTTTGCAAAAAAAAAAAAAGACTTGCATCTCGTGCTAAAGTTATATATCTCAAAGAAGTATCTCAAATTTGTGTATCAGGAAAAGGAAAAAATTGACAAAGTAATACTTTTTCTTAATTACATTTTTACCTTTATATATATTTATATTTCAATGGAAGGATTTTTGAAAAATTTGGAGAAATGGCGTTTCCGACACTACTTTACTGTTTGGCAAAAATAATACCACTTTATCGTGTCCAAAAAATCATGAGCGTGATGGAAATTTCATAAGTCAAAACTCACTGTTACAAGGTCAGTCCTGCATTCAATGTGGACAGTTGATAAAAATGGAAAAAGGGTGGTTCGTGAAATTGGCTTTGTAAAATCATTATTATGTCATAATTTCCGGACATTAAAGGAAAGTTAAGCACGCGTGATCAAATTTATATTTAATTAAGAAAAGTTGCATTGAATAAGGAAAATTACTAACACGTAGGTCTCAAAATTTTACAAAGTGTAAATGAAAGTAGCGATCGATTCAGATATTTTACTAAAAGTACATGAAAGAAATTCACTATTAAACAAATAGACATTAAACATAGGATCCAGAGAATAGAAAAGTTACGGTCTATCTGGTAATTTACTAACAATAGAGAAAGAAATTTACCATAAACTAAGGTAGATTATTATTATTGTTTGTGATATATTACAAATCATATGACTTACGGCACTTACGACGACAAATAGAAAATTACGTCTTGTAAAGAAAAGTAATGAAATGATACGTAACCGGTAAATTAGTGCAAGGAAAATTAATAAGGAAAATTACAGATACTAAATAAAAAAAATCGCCATTAATTAGACGGGATCCGATCCCATTTTCCCTTCCCATCTAGTTGTTGTAGATATTCATGCCAATCTTTAGGTGGCTTTGAGTAGCCAAGAATATGGAGGAATTTGTTGTAATCAAAATGGCATGTCATAGCTTTCTTTCTTTCTTTCTTTGTGTGCCTTTTGCTCTCTGTGTAGTCGTGGTGTATGCTTAGAGAGCATTTTGTGATTCTTCGCGCGAAGATGATCAGCTTATGTAATTTTATTGCCAAATTTGCTTACTCCTGCATAACAGCCAGTTCTGGGGAGCCCTTGTGTTTTAGGGTATCGTTTCTTGAGAAATTTGTTCCTTCAGAGGTTGAGCTTGATTCTAGCTATGTGGGGATTGAGTCGAGTTGAGCCTGAGCATTTCAAATAAAGGGAAGAGCCAGAGCAAAGCAAACAGAGGATTGCATCAGTTCATTTCAGGGTGTTCTTTTTTGTGGTGCTTGTTGCACCAATTCTTCTTTTTGTGTTCGCTTATAATCTTCTCAAGAAGAGGAAAAAGGGCGAAAGCAATACAAATGCAGCAAATAAGAGCACCGATGGAACATCTACATTCTTCCTTATTTTCTGTTATTTTGTTCTCCAAAACAGAAAAAGAATAGAAATCCGTTTAGTAACGTCACTAATTTTTCTATTCACGGGAACAAAAAGTGGCCGGGGAATAGATTTGGAATAGAAACAAGAAGTAGGAAAAGTTACTTCTTTGTTCCCGAAAGCAATTTCTGAAACAAGTTTTTTTTTACCTTTTCTTTTTTTCTTCCTTCTTCTTCCTCCTCTAGCAAACTAAGCAAAATTTCATGTCACAAAATTTTTTTAGGTTTGTACCAAACGCTTTACTGTTCTTTTTCTATTCTGAGAATAGAAATTTTGTATAATTATCAAAACGCACTTTCGCTTCATAAACTCGCCCGTAAGATAGAAATAATAAAAGCCATTTCTATTCGTAAATTGCTTTCAGGTGAACATAAATCTTACCAAGTGCAACCCTAGATATTTTCAGACGTGCGTGAAGGCATGTAAAATCTTATAATTGAATGATCAACTTTCCGAACAAGTAAATGATGTGGGCTTTTTGGGGGCCTCTTTAGGGCTCATCCCGTAATCTTCCACAATGAAACAATGTCGGTAAACTTAACTGAAGTGACTCTCTCTCTCGCAAAGGAGCACGAACCTTCTTAGGCATTTCCAAGGGCAGAAATTAACGTACACTTATGGCGAGTGGACCAAGCCAACAAGTTTGACTTGACTTGAGGGTGTGGTCCAAAAGAAGATACGGCAAGGACTAAAACCATTTGCAGAATAGTATCCCGAAAGCGTCTTTCGTTGTTCATCAATCCTTTTAATCACTAACATATATCATGCTAGAAAATTTTGTTTTTTTTATTCTCATTTTAGTAAGATGATGTGCTTCACAAAGTAAAGTGCAAATGATATTTAACTTTTAAATAGACTTATGACCTTTAGTTTTTTCCCCTACATCACTAGTTCTCAACTTTTTAGATCTCTAACACATTCGAATTCTTTCTTCAAGAATCTCTCCTAAAACGTCAACACTGCATATTTTTTCAATGGATAGCTGATATTACCAAAATAGAGATGGACCTCGTAGTAAACTTCCATCATTCTATCTATACCAAAGAATTTTTTCTCAACCATCTATACCAAGGCATTATTTTTCAAGTTTGGAAATAATTGCTCATCATCTATCATATTTCACAACTGGAAGCACGATTGTTGCAAAACAGAGCTCTTAAATTTGGAAGCCTATTCTGCTAAAAGTTTCTAACAATAATTCCTTAAACTTTGGAATGTAAAGAAACTAGAAAATTTTGGTGGGGCCAAGACTTGTTAATGAAAATGAAATTTTTTGTAAATACGGAAAAGCATCAGCAATGAAACTGGTGTTTGGCCATAACGCGGGTAGTTTAGCGTGTGCCTTTGGGGATAATGAGTAAGTGGTACAGAATGATGAGACTCAATGTTTAGTCATTTTGGTATCGAGACAAGCATGCTTGACTTACTTTTCCAAGTCTTCATTGAAATTGACATGTCAAGAAAATTGGTGAAAAATAATAGATTTGAGTGTCGGTATTTGTGAACCACTAGTTGTTCAGGTCCAATCGTGAGTCTCAAGTCTTTTAGTCCACGCAAGTCCATTGAACGTTCAATCGGGGAGGTTGAGTCTAGGAGGTATTGCAGCATATCCAGGTGTAAACACCTGGTGGGATTCACGGTTTTCACGCCTTGTTTAACGTCCCGGCGGCCAAACGTCCCTCCATAACTCAAGAATTACTCTCTATTTCTCTCTCTTGGTTGAACGTTGAGAGAGAAACTTCATTGAGTCCCACCCCCTCACCAAGTTCCCACCCTATGTTTTTCTTCACGGTTGAGCGGGAATGCTCTCTCGATGTTTTACGTTTAAGGGACTCCGAGGTCCAAGCATAAAGCATGACCTTAAATGGAGCCTTTTAACATCCTGCTCGGGATGGAGTATCAAAACTGGCGTGCTTGACTTACTTTTCCAAGTCTTTATTAAAATTGACATGTCAAGCCAATTGGTGGAAAATGGTGGATTTGAGTGTTGGTATTTGTGAACCACTAGTTATTCAGGTTCATTCTTGAGTCTTCCCATCTTGCTCAAGTCTTTTAGTCGACGCAAGTCATTGATTGCTACCATTCTTAGGGTAGAGCTAACTGTCATTGAGAGACCATGAATTAGTGAACACGCCTAGAGAGAGAGAGAGAGAGAGAGAGAGAGAGGGAGGGAGGGAGGGAGGGAGGGAGGGAGGGAGAGAGGTAGTTTACCTTTTCGTCTCTTCATGTTTCTAATTTCTAAAGGAAAATTTATTATATAAAGATCTACAAATTTAATTGTCTTTTGTGTTAGAGATTTTTCCTTTTCCTTTTTGATTGATTACGGATATTTGGTACAAGATTATATGAATATTAGGATCCATTTGTTTCGTGAAAAAATGAACGATTTGAAAAAGTTTCTTTAAAAATGATCTCTTGTATCGCTTGAAATAATTAGCTAATAAAAATGTTTTCATTATCGTCAACAAATAATATCCAAACATTTTCGTGGACGGTGAAAAAAATTTCGTTCATTCATTTTTATGAGCGATATAAGCAATCATATATTAGGAAAATATTTTCTAAATCATATATTTTTCACGAAACAAACAGAACCTCAATAATCGGCGCTCGATAAAGGCAGAAATAAAGTGTATGCATGTGATTTCAAATAGATACTTACATTGAACCACCAATCAAAGGCAATGATTATTGATTGGACCAAATATGGCAAAGCTCTTAGATGATTCAGGTGCAAGTGAGCCCATTGCATTTGAGCCCTCAATATTGGTGGTGCCATATGAAACCCACACAATCTAAGGGTCGGGATGAATTGGGCTCACACGCACTCAAGAATATCTCACCCCCCATTTTAACTTTTGTCAATTCTACGTGGGAGCGATTTATAT